ACACATATATATATATATATATATATATATTAAAGGAATGACCAGAGGCTATTATATGAGCCCCGACTATCCCACATGCATCTGAGAATTTGAGTACCACACCCTACATTCGGGGGAATCGAACCCCAAACCAAAAGGACTTACAACCGACAAGCAGATGCCCGACCAATTGATTTAAGTATACATCGCAAATATATATATATAATGACATCTCCTAACATTCAAGTACCAAGACAGGCCTTACACTTCAGCACAAACCCTAGAACCAGAAGAAAGGTGAAGATCCCGCATGATGAACCCCCTACCCTGTGAATCCAGTACGGATCAAACCTCATGAATCTTTGATCCATAAAGCATGTACTGAGACTGATACAAAAGATTAGCAGAATGAGAACAAACGGCAACCATATGCGCAACTTTCTGTTCTCCTCATCTTCTTCTTCCTCCGCCGCTTCCTTGCCAATATATAATGGTGAGATCATTGCAAGAAGTACGAGGGAGATTGCCACCAGCTTCTCAGTAGCAGTGGGTCTGGTCATTTGTTCTGAAAGAAGGAAGAAAACTCTGTGGACTGAAGGTAAGATAACGCTGTTGTGAATGAAATGTTGTGCTATTCTCGGTGTTTGCTTTTTATCACAATGTAGAGAAGAATATAATATCTTTAGGTATATATGAGAAAGAAGATTAAAAGGGAGGTTCTTTCAGCTGGTTTAGAAAAGAGTATTGGAATCAGATGCGTTTGAAGTAGTGGGTGTGTGGCAAAGTCCATGAAATCGTGTGGAAACTTCCATTTGATGTGCTGCGTAATGATGCTGTGCAGAGGAAGTAGTATGAACAGCTTATATTGGAATTGGAAGGTGCGGAGTTGTTAGTGCTGTTAAAGAGCCGGTTTTGAGGCCATCCGAAATGAGCTCGAATGATTGAGTTCAGATCCAAATTGGCTCATGGCTCGCTATGTTTGATTTCGAGCAAGTTCGGCTCAAAATTGAAATAAGCTCGAAATCGAAATGAGTTTGGCTAAAATTTTAGTTATTTGGTTTTGTTCCAGCTCAAAATTGGATCGATTGACTCGAGTTCAAAATAAAATTGCTCAAATTGATTTATTTGGATCCGTTTTTGTTTGAAACCGGCTCGTAACACGCTATATTTGATTTTATTTAGAATTGTATGCATTTTTTATAAATGAAAGATAATTCAAGTCGATCTCGAGCCAGCTCGAGTTGATACATGCATGGCTCGAAATCAGCCCCAAAAAAATTCGATACAAATATTTTGTCATCATAACTCGGCTAGTTTATTTCAATCCAATCTTGATTCGAGCTAAAATTCAAATAAATTTTCGAGCGAATCAAACTAAATTCACACTATTAGTTGTATGAAACATTTGCATCAAATTTTGAGTCTTTTTTTTTTTTTTTTTTTTAAGTGGGGAGCCTGATTTTTCTTACAAGAAAGGGACTAATTCTATAAATTTAAGTCCAAGTAATTATCTCACTATCATGTTTTTTACATCTGCTTTGGTTATTGTTTTTTCATTATTTTTAAAGATATTATTATTGTGTAAAATTGCTTTTGAGAAATTGATTTGATAAGAAACTTGCCAAACAACTTTTCAAAAAATAGCTTTCAAATAACAACTCTACAAATACCTCTATTAAGAGCTACTAACTCAAATGAACATTTAGTAAGGCCATCATAGGAAGCCTCCTATAAGGGGTATTAAGGCTGAGATCGACTAATGTTTGTGATTATTTTGTTAGAACATTTAATTATTTTATTTATTTTCAATTATTCCATTTTTGTATTCATAGGAAGGATGGCAACATCTCATGTTTTATCAGAGTGTTAGGGTTGTAATTCTTCACAATCAAATCCTAGTGAAATTTTTAGCCATTGCTGTTTAATTTGCTCACAAAAAAAGGCTTTTATGGCCAATTCTTTATTTAAATATTTTGTTTGCTATTTGGTTTTTAGTTCAATATAAAATACACTATTTTTTATATCTTGAATATAATTGTTTTATTTCTATTGGTTATCGAATAGAACGATCCATGTGTTGTTATTAGCAGCCGCCAATGTTTGACAGAGGTGGACAATTAAGGGATAATAATAATGATATTGGTGTTTGTTGGCGAAGTGGTTGAAACAAGTATGATGGTGACAAATATCAAAATAACAATGGCGGTCATGATAGCGTATGTCACGCCCCACCAATATTATGACATGATGGAGTATTCTAGAATATGGAGGCCTAAAGAACAACCTAGAAGAATCTAGAATATGTATGTACATAAGAATAATGTAGAACTATCTAGAAGTTAGAATATTATATTATAAAGCTCCCCATGGAGAATAGTCCTACATTGGCAAGGTGTAAGGCCAAAGCCATGGAGGAAGCTATAAATAAGTGTCTCTTTCCTCATTCTAAGGCATCCAAGGTTTCAAGCTTTCAAGCTTTGTAATCTCTCTTTATTAGTGAAACATTATCTTTTCTAACTCTTCTTCCTATTCTACTTTCAAGAGAGTGCTTTTGAGTTGTTAGTTGGGAAGGTTAGGCTGATTTAGTGTTAAAAGAGAGCGCTAAAGCCGCACAGATAACTTAAGGAAAGTTAGTCTGTGACAGTTGGTATCAGAGCTTTGGTTCGAGGGAATGAAGAAAAGCGTAAAGGAGCACTCAAGGAGCACGGGATGGAGTCGGAAGCCACTATTGTGGAGTCGTCTCAGGGGTGAGGACGCCAGGAGCAAAGGGATCCCGTTGCACCTAAGCCACAAGGGAGGTCTAAGGAGATCATGCATAGCTTTGATTCGCGTCTTGCTCGAATGGAGGAGGCTATGATTGGCGTAGAAGACCAAGTAGAGGACCTTGGCCAAAGGGTTGATGGACTCGAGGAAGAGGACGTCACCATCCATTCAACAATCAGAGGTATGATGCTCCAACTTGAGGAGACCCTAATAGGCCAAATGGCTAAGTTGCAGGAGGATTTTGTGGGGAAGCTCCAAGAAGTGCGAAGCGCCCACAAAGAAGAGATGAACGGCTAGCCTGGAGGAGATGAGTGGGGACATTTTGTTGTGCAAAAGGGCACTAGTGACACCCACCAACTATTAAACCTTCGAATCTAAGAGGATTGAGGTGCCAAAACTAAAAAGTTTTGGAGGAACTCGTGATGCAAAATAAGTGGATAACTTCTTATGGGGTATGGAGCAATACTTCGGAGCAATGAGGATCACAGATGAAGAGGCAAGAATTCAATTTGCTACTCTTTATCTTTCAGATATTGCTATTCTATGATGGAGAAGAAGGCGAGGAGATGTTGAAAATGGTATGTGTACTATCTCCACTTTTGATGACTTTGAGAAAGAGTTAAAGAGGCAATTCATCCTGAAAATGCAGAGGATGAGGCTAGAGCCCAATTGTGAAGGCTCAAGCAAGTAGGATCGATTCAAGAATATATCAAGGAATTTAATAGTTTGGTCCTTGAAATCTCTGATATGTCAGACAAGGATGCTCTATTCAACTTCATGGATGGACTACAACAATGGGCAAAGACAGAGCTTAGGAGGCGTGGTGCACAAGATCTCACTTTCGTCATAGCCATTGCAGAAAGCTTGGTGGACTACACAAAAGAGTCTACAAGCCAAAAGGTAAGAAGAACAACTATGTCAGAAGTGGGGGAGACCGGGAGCAATACAAGGAAGAGAATCGTCGTGAATTGACCTCATTCAAAGCAAGAGACAAGGGGAAGTTTTACAACAACAACAAGACTAAACCATACAACAATTGCTTCCTTTGTGGAGGACCACATTGGGTAAGGGATTGCCCGCAGAAGAAAGCTCCGAACTCTCTCCTTGAAAGCCATCAAGAAGTAGAGGAAAATGACATGGGCGCTCAGATAGGAATAATGCAATTACTCAATGTCGTACGCTCTTCTCCAAAAACTCCGTCAAAAGGACTTCTTATTGTAGAAGTGACTATAGGGAAGACATCCACTAATGCGATGATAGACACAGGAGCTTCTCACAACTTCATGTCTATTGAAGAAGCGAGGAAGATGGGTCTGCAAATAACATGAGGTGGAGGCTCCATCAAGTCAGTTAACTCTGCAGCTAGGCCAATCTATAGAGTGGCTAAAGGTGTGAAGTCTTGTGTAGGGGATTAGTCAGGTACGCTAAACTTCTCCATCATTCCCATGGATGATTTCAAAGTAATCCTTGAAATAGATTTCTTGGACCAAGTAAGGGTGTTCTCGATACCGTTTGCCAATAACATGTGTATCATGGGAGGCGACCAAGCTTGCCTTGTACTGACAACAAGAGCTAGGCAGCAGGAGACCAAGATGGAGACCAAGATGTTGTCATCAGCCATTCAATTCAAGAAGGGCATTCGACGAGAGGAGGAGAGCTACTTGGCTATCCTTCATGACTCCGATGAAGAATCGAAGCCCGAAGAAGCCAAGCTAAAGGAAGTAGTAGAAGTGCTTGCAGAGTTTAAAGATGTGGCGCCACCAGAATTACCGAAGGAACTACCGCCTAGAAGGGAGGTCGATCACCAAATTGAGCTAGAACCATGGACAAAGCTACCAGCAATGGGAGCTTACCGCATGACACCTCCAGAACTGACAAAACTACACAATCAGTTGAAAGAGTTGGTTGAGACAGGATTTATCCGACCATCTAAAGCCCCCTTTGGTGCGGTTCTATTTCAAAAAAGAAGAAGGATGGCTCCTTACGCATGTGTATAGATTATCGGGCTTTGAACAAAATTACCGTGAAGAACAAATATCCAATCCCTCTCATTGCCCCTTTTTGATCAACTGTTGGGAATGCAAGATACTTCTCAAAATTGAATCTAATATCAGGCTACTACCAAGTGAGGATAGCAGAAGGGGATGAACCACTTGCATGACCAGGTATGGGTCATTCAAATTTTTGGTGATGCCTTTCGGACTAACCAATGCTCCTGCTACATTTTGCACCTTGATGAACAAACTATTCCAGCCATACCTGGACCAGTTTGTCGTTGTCTACTTGGATGACATAGTGGTGTATAGCAACACTCTCCAAGATCATCTAAAACATCTCCGGGATGTATTTAAAGTTCTTAGAGAAAACAAGCTATTCATCAAGAAAGAAAAATGTTACTTTGCCAAACAAGAAGTGGCATCCTTGGGGCATAGGATAAAGGAGGGAAAGCTCATGCTGGAAGAAAGCAAGGTCAAAGCCATCCAAGATTGGGAACATCCCACAAAGGTACCTGAATTAAGATCCTTCTTCGGACTTATTAACTACTATCAACGATTCATAAAGGGCTACTTCGCAAAAGCTGCACCGTTGACGGACTTACTCAAGAAGAACAAGTCGTGGGTGTAATGCAGTTTTTGAAGACCTCAAAAAGGCAATCAGTGAAGAACCCGTACTCAACCTTCCTGATCATACCAAGGTATATGAAGTACATACTGATGCTTTGGACTTTGCTATTGGAGGGGTACTCATACAAGATGGACACCCAATTGCCTACGAAAGCAGAAAACTTAACGAGACAGAACGTCGCTATACAGTTCAAGAGAAGGAGATGACAATCATCATACATTGCCTCAGAGTATGGAGACACTACTTGCTTGGCTCCAAATTCCAAGTTATGATAGATAATATTGCCACCAGTTACTTCCAGACTCAGAAGAAAGCTAAGTCCTAAACAAGCAAGATGACAAGATTTTCTAGCAGAATTTGACTATGTCTTGGAGTATAAGCCATGGAAGGCTAATGTAGTTGCAGATGCACTAAACCGAAAAGCAAAACTTACAAGCCTGTCACAAGTCTCCAGCTCCCTCATAGATAAAATAAAAGAAGGTTTGACCACCGACTCACAAGCTCAAAGTATTATTCCCTTAGTGAAATAAGGAAAAACCCGGAAGTTCTGGATGGATGAAGATCTCTTTTACACCAAAGGAAGACAGATCTACATACCAAGATGGGGAAACTTAAGGAAGGAGCTGATCAAAGAATGTCATGACTCTTCATGGGCAGGACACCCAGGTATGAAACGAACTTTTGCACTCCTAAAAATAAATTACTACTGGCCAGGGATGAAGGATGGGATAGAAGAATATGTTTGCACTTGTCTCGTATGTCAACATAACAAAATTGTCCTTCAACAACCAGGGGGGTTGTTAGAACCGCTACATATTCCTCAAAGACCATGGGAGAGCGTCTCTATGGACTTCATCTCTAGCTTGCCAAAATCAGGCAGATTTGGGAGCATCTTAGTTGTTGTGGATAGATTTAGCAAGTATGCAACATTCATTGCTGCACCCATCAATTGTACTGCCGAAGAAGCTGCATGACTCTTTTTATGCAATGTGGTAAAGTTATGGGGGATACCACAAAACATTATCAGCGATCAAGATCCTCGCTTCACCAGAAGATTTTGGACCGAGTTATTCAAAATGTTGGGGTCGGATTTAAACTTTTCCACAAGCTTTCATCCGCAGAGTGATGAACAAACTGAGAGGGTCAATGCCCTCCTAGAGCTATATCTGCGGCACTATGTGAGTGCTAATCAACAAAACTGGGCCAAGTTACTAGATGTGGCTCAGTTTTCTTTCAACCTTCAAATAAATGAATCCACTAACAAGAGCCCCTTCAAAATAATCATGGGACAACAACCTATGACTCTTCTTTCCCTTACAACCAACTACAAAGGGAAAAGTCCGCCCGCCTTCAAGTTTGTCAAATCTTGGAATGAGCAAAGGGAAATAGCTCGGGCTGCATTACACAAGGCCGTGAGGAAGATAAAAAAGTGGGCATACAAGAAATAGAAGCATATTGAGTTCAAAGAGGGAGATCTAGCCCTTGTGAAACTACTACCCCAACAATTCAAAACATTTCGAAAGGTACATAAGGGTTTGATTCAAAGATACGAAGGCCCTTTTGAGGTAACGAAGCAAGTGGGAAAGGTCTCTTATAAACTCGACCTGCCACCAAAACTGAAGATACATCCAGTCTTTCATGCAAGCATGTTGAAAGCCTTACTAGGAAGACATGGAAGAGCCATCAAGGGGGATCTCCAACTGAGCACCTACAACAGTAATCTCCTCCTTAGACAAAGAAATTCAAGAAATAATGGCCGACAGGGTGATCAGACGGTGAGGGGTACCAAACTACAAGGAGTTTCTCATCAAGTGGAAAGGATGGCCTGATAGCGAGGCCAGTTGGGAGCATGAAGACACGCTGTGGCAATTCAAAGAGAAGATCAAACAGTATCAAGAGGAGAAGCGCAATGAGGGCATTGCGAGCTTAAGTGGGGGAGAATGTCACGCCCCACCAATATTATGAAATGATGGAGTATTCTAGAAGATGGATGCCTAAAGAACAACCTAGAAGAATCTAGAATATGTATGTACATAAGAATATAGTAGAACTATCTAGAAACTAGAATATTATATTGTAAAGCTCCCCATGGAGAGTAGTCCTACATTGTCAAGGTGTAAGGCCAAAGCCATGGAGGAAGCTATAAATAAGTGTCCCTTCCCTCATTCTAAGGCATCCAAGGTTTCAAGCTTTCAAGCTTTGTAATCTCTCTTTATTAGTGAAGCATTATCTTCTCTAACTCTTCTTCCTTTTTTACTTTCAAAAGAGTGCTTTTGAGTTGTTAGTTGGGAAGGTTAGACTAATTTAGTGCTAAAAGAGAGAGCTAAAGCCGCACAGATAACTTGAGGAAAGTTAGTCCGTGATAGGTAGCTACAATAATAGTGGTGGTGGAGGTATTGGAGACGTTGGTGAAGTTGTTGTTGGTTGTTTGTGGAGATTGTTGGTAATGAACGGAGTAGTGATGCTGATGATAGTGTCGTTGATGGTGAATGATGATGATGGTAGTGGTTGTTGTTGGCAATATTGGCCATGGCGATTTGCAGAAGTGGAATCTAATAGCTAATGTGGCGAGAGTTGGAGGTGTTGGTAGCGACTATTGGTCATAGTTATTATTTTAAAACATGCTTAAAACATTAAATTTTTTTTTGAATATTTTTAAATAACTTAATTTTTTTCTAAGAAAATTTTTAAAATATGATATGCAATAATATTTTTTTTTAAATACTAACAACGACAAGAAAATAAATATAATTTCAAACAAACCCTGAAGGATTGCATGGGATCACGTTATGTTTAGTCTTGTTGTTTTATTTTATTTATATGTTAAGTTTAAATAAAAATACATTTGATAACTTAAATATGCATTATTTCTTATTTTTAATCACATGAGTAAGATTATATGGCAATGAAGTATGCAATGGTGGTAAATAGTTACAAATGTAGTGGTGACAATAGTTAGTGGTGATGGTAGTTGGTGGCCAATTATAGTTGTGATGACAATAACTTTTACAATATGCAACAACCAGAATGGCTGGTGGCATGGCTGACAATAGCGTTGGTAGTGTCCGTCATCTGTGACAAGCAACCTTTAATTGTAGTGGCGGCATTCCACGAAAACACAACACATATATAAAAGAAAAGTGTCAGGAGGAGATATTAAGTTTTTTTTACATGAAAAAATCTTAGAAAGGAAAAAAATTATGGGGCCTAGTATAATAAAAGTAACCCACTATAAAATTGTAAGTACATAAGTCAACTCAACTTGTAAATTAGATAAGATGGAATTATTGTTAATCACAGATGTATACTAATAGTTTAGTTATAATTATCATAATTTGGGCTACAACAAATATAATTTTTGGCTATAATAATAATAATTGGACATATATGCTTAAGCGATGACTGTAATATTAATTAGCCACAAAGATTGTAGTCTGAGGTTATAATATCATTTGTTGGGCACAAAAGCGGTTGCTGGAAATTGTAACGTAGTAGATGGCTACAGCTGTCATAGTTTACTACTGCAAAAGTAGTAGTTGGCCTTAAATGCTTTAATTGGTGGTTGCAAAGAGACAATTGGCCATAGATGCTGTAGTTGAAGACTGTAAGCAATTGCACAAAAAATTTGTGTTCCTTTTGAATTTCCTTCTTGATCAATGATAACCGTTGCATTGTCATCATATTGTATTATCATGCTGTTGTCACGTTTGAGTTCTTTACATGTACGTACAATCACAACTCTAATTATTTATGATCTTTTTAGAGGCATTTTGGCACTGCTTCTTTGATTAGAGCAACAATAACATCGTCAAGATTAATTGTTGGTTAATACAACGTAGTAGTTGACCATAAAATCTAATTATAGTCAGTGGTTGCAACGCCCGTAGTTAGTCACATATGTGATAGTTAAAAATTTAAACAGTCATAGTTGGACACAAAGACAATTGGTTGCTATAAAGTCACCGGTAGCTCATAAAAATTATAATTGGTGGTTGAAATCATGATAGGTGATTGCAATGGCTACAGTTGGCCATATAAAACTGCAACAATTATAATTGGTTGCTACAAAATAGTTGGCCATAAAAAAATTCTAAGAAATCATAACTTTTGGAAAAAAAAGAAAGAGAGAGAGAAAAGCTAGATGCCAAATTGATTCTCTGACACGTGGCAATATTTCGAACATGCCACTAATTAATGTTTATCCAATTAATCGGTGAATTCCCGTTTTATTCCTCACCCGAACTTTATTTATTGATTTATTTTAAATAGGGATAATTGTTCTTTGGCGGGCCAGTTAAGAGCAGCCAAGAACCAAAAGCACGGCGGGGATTCCTTTGTTTTGATGCCAACTTTGATTAGGGTTAGGGTATTTTCTCCCTTTATTGTGATTCGCTTTTGATTGTAGAATCGCCAACGGGATGTCCATCGCGGCGGCTCCACCGCCCGATCTTCTACGACTTTCAGCCTGTAGAAAGAGTAATCGGCAACATTTCCCAGGAAAATTCACCTCTGCAAATGTGTGAGTTACTGCTTTCTTTGAGGTTTCTGTTTAACCGGAACATATTTTCTTGAAAATTTCTGTAATAGGAAATTTGTATTACTGCGATGTTTTAATTGGTTTCCATTGGAACTG